GATTAAAGGCATGATAGTGTGCAATAAAGGCAGCTTGGGGACTGTATTTCACTTTGACAACTGGGCTAAACACAACCTGCGGCATTGGGACACTGGAGGAGAGAGTGACAGGTAAATTGACGTTGGCCGATTAATTTTCCTGGGCAAAGATTTAGATCCCTATCAAACATCACTGCAAAGTGTTCATGACAGCGGTGACTTATTTTTAATTGTTTCATTTTCCCAGCTGTGCTTTATTCGACCCGGAAACAGATGTGAAGATAAAATGATGTAAAGCGGCATCAAAGGGGCAGGCATGGAGAATCGCTGCAGAAGATTCATTCATGATGTCAACATCTGATGTCACAGTGTGTGAGATGTGATGTTGCCACACCGTGTAACTGTGATTCGTATTTTTGAATCATAACCAGTGGCCGAGATTCGGACACTCGTGAAATGTTGTTGAACCCCCGACACTGCAAGTGCATGTAAAGTTTGATCATGTGAAGCTTGCACAGTTCAGTTGATCTCGCCCAAGTTGATTGTTGCCTGTTGTAATGGAGAAGCAACGAAGGCCAGGGCAGAGCAGGGGCCAAGGCCATTCTGGAACCTTTAATGGAAAAGTGCCTTTCTAGCATTACGTGACCCTCCAAGGACTCCATCAAGGATGCATAGGTAGCATAGGTAGTACAGACAAAAGTCAGGAGTCTACCCTCCGCAGCACAGGGCCAGAGGGAGACTTCCCCCAAACTGCAACTGACAAGCTTAGCCCCTCCTGCGCATCATAAGCCCATGACGAGCTTTGTTATATTTGAACAAGAAATAAAAGGAAACACTCTGCTGGCAGAGTTATGCATCCATCTGTCCATCCATTTTCCGATCCGCTTTATCCTCACAAGGGTCGCGGGGGGTGCTGGAGCCTATCCCAGCTGTCTTTGGGCAGTAGGCCGAGGACACCCTGAACCGGTTGCCAACCAATCGCAGGGCACACAGAGACAAACAACCGTCACACCTAGGGACAATTTAGAGTGTCCAGTCAGTCTGCCATGCATGTTTTTGGAATGTGGGAGGAAACCGGATTACCCAGAGAAAACCCACGCAGGCCCGGGGAGAACATGCAAACTCCACACAGGATGGCCGGACCCGGGAACGAACCCACGGCCTCTGCACTGTGAGGTCTACGCGCTAACCACTGGCCCAATGGGCCACCACAGTTATGCAAGTAATCAGAAATCAAGTGTCCATCAGTGCTCCTGTTCAGTCAATTGTTTTTTTTTTTTTTTTTTTTTTTTTTTAAGGAAAGACAATCATATAGTATGTACTGTGGAATAGTCAGATGTAATCATCCAACAACAAGCCGATTTTTCTGTTGCTTGTTAAAGGCCATGCCTCAAAGCTGTGTCTCACCGTGCAGTGTTTGTCAACACACGTATTCAATTAACTATCTGTGAGCGGCAGATGTACTTGCTTGAGCGCTTCCGTCCATCAAGCCACCAGAAGGAAAAAGCAAATATGGAAGCAATTACGGATGTAACTAGGTTTGCACCACTTAGGTTTATTGGTTTGAAGTAAAATTGTTCACAAAAACCATTGGACCACCGCCAAGGTGAAATAAACGAAGAATCAATAGCAGTCATATGATGGGAACATTGTGTAGTTTTAATTTATGTGATTATTATTCTTATTTTTTTTTTGCCATGTCAACATACAGTTTTCAGCCAAACTCTGCCTTTGGACAACACATGTAAGCAACATATTGCCACCCTCCTGAAACAAATACTGAATTCTGGTGTATTATATTTAGTGAGAATTTCATTTGAGCTACCGTTGCATGATAAGTTCAACTGAAGAAGTAGACCAATATAGCAGAGGTGGTCAAAGTTATGATGAGATATTCAAGAAAAAAAAGCACAATTTATGTCCAAATATGGATTGGGCCATTTTTTAGGAAGGTACATATCTACGGTATATATGTATGTGTGTGTGTGTGTGTGTGTGTGTGTGTGTGTGTGTGTGTGTGTGTGTGTGTGTGTGTGTGTGTGTGTGTACATACACACAACATGGAGAAAAATCACTCAGGGAACTTTACAGCTGCAGTTGATGAGTGACGTTGCAAACAATTAGCAACACAATATTTCAGTTGGAGCTATGCATCTATGTACTCAATATAAAGTCATTTTTGTACAGCACATTTGACAATAAAGTTGTATCCAATCCAATCCAATTAAAAAAAAAAATCTGACACCCCCCGCCCATATTTCAAATAACACGTACACCTAAACAATGTTTCGTCCAAGATATGAACTGAGTGAACTTCTTTCTTTAAAATGATATTGCTCATGCAAATTGTCAGAATGATTCAGTTTTACCAATCAATATATGTTACTGGAGAGGTAGCAGTGTATAACTGCATTCATCACAATGCATTTCTTATATACAGGAAACTGAGCAAACAAACAATATAGCTATGAAGTATAACGTTTACACTGTGCAGGTAACAGGTGGAAACTCATTGCATTCGAAACAGCCTTCACAGCTGATACTTTCACATTATTTGCTGATATTCTATATCATGTAGATCAGTGTTTCCCAAGCAAGGGCACGCATACCCCGTCGGGGTACATGAACACAATAAAGGAGATACATGGAAACGTAATAACTTATTTCCAAGTTCAATAGGTGATACAGTCGTGCCAAAATCAAAGCTGTGTGTCACTTCAAGTGTCTCATGAAAGCTCAGATGACAGATGGAAAGAAAGTAAAATTGCTATTAGTGGGTCTGAATATTATTCTTGTTAAGTGTTTCGTTCCTGATGTTTCAAGTTTAAATAATTGTTAAAGGGGATCTTCAAACAACTTGGCTCTGAGAATCATTGAGACAAAGTTCTCGCTCATTAAGTCTTGGTTTTGGGCCTTGCCGCTCACTTGCAGTGATTTCTCCAGATTCCCTAAACCTTTTGATGATATCATGGACTGTAGATGATGAAATCCCGAAATGCCTTGCTACTGCACATTGAGGAACATTGTCTTTAAACGCCAGCCCCAACCCCAAAACCAACCCAAACCCACAACACCTAATTTAAAATTAACCCTAATTTATAAATCTAATCTTTTCTTTACACTAAAGTAAACAGTACAAAAACAACAAAAAAAGCATAAAATAACCAAAAAAAAAAAAAAATCAAAATAGTAAAAAAATGCAGTATGCATATAGTTGATGATGTTTGTAAATCCTTTGTCAATGTTATTTAAAATGATTAAGTCATTTCAGTGATCCAAACAAACAATGACTGTCTGTTCCCTCTGAGTTGCTTTTAATCTGGCCGCTTTTGGGAAGACCAAGTGGCCTGTGTCGTTTGCCTTAATGGCCAACAAAGACTTTTGAAGATGGACAATGGTGGTCCATTGAGTTTTATTGTCACTATTTATCCACTTCTCTCCGAAAAAGGTTATTTGGCTCGCTGCTTTGAAAGATGTGTGATCAAGCCTCAAATCAGCAGCCATGGTCTCTCTCTCTCCCCTCGTTATAAATGTAATCCTGCAAAACAATCCCAACATTTGTAACAAACATCGAATTTGATTTAATTAATATTTGTCAACTGTGGGCCCTATGAGATGGTTTTTTTTTCCGGATTAAGGGCCATATAAATACATTTAAATTGGTGTGGTTTTTTTTTCTGCAACTGAAACGAGTATTTTTTATTTTTTGTAAACCGGTTACATAAAGCCAGTACAAAGATGCTGTTCTCCCCCATGCATGTCTCATCATGAAGGTCTCCTAGTTTGAGTGAAGTGAAGCTTTCTTGGGTTAATCCAGTCAGAAAACTCCTAAACTGCAACGTATGTCAGCTAATGTGGGTCAGGGTAGTTAAATAGGTCTAGTGTGTACAACATTTTTCATTGAGATCAAATACAATAAAATGAAGCCTTGGATTCCATGTGACTTGTTTTAAAATGTGATCATCAGATGTTACATTTTATTGAAGACTCGCACTTAAACATTTTCCAGTCCCTGGTCAGTGGTGACCGTTTCAAAATTATTTGACACAGCAAAGCAAAATAAAACAGTCTAGCAGCGCTCTCTTCTGTGTGCCACGGGAACTACAGGACATTTGAAATTAAGTGCTTTCGTATTTCGAGATTTTTTTTTATACAGTACAGTATTCATTGTTTTTCTTCTAATCTCAAAGGTATTTAATGATTGATAGTATAGGAAGCGTGTGAATAGTATTTCGGGACTATGGATGGTATGAGAAAGAATGGTGCATGAACAACCAGCTCTCACCGAGGTTTTGTGTCACCCTGTGCACCCCACTGAAGTGTTTCTGACTACACCCCTACATGCCATTGTCAGATTTCATACTAAAAGGTAAACTGTGATTTACTTTTTTTTTTCCTTTTCAAACTCAGCGACCTACCTGTCTTGTATCGGTTTCGTTCATGTTGGGGTCATTTACAGCTATTGCTCCTCATCATACAGATTGGCATGCGTGCATGCGCGTCAGACAGTGATGTGATGTCTAGTGGTTGTATGACAAGACTAATTGTTGAGGTTAATGACTGCAGGATGGAAAAGGTTTGCAGTTAACACTTGTATTCTGATTAAAAAGACAAGTTTCCATTTTTCTAATATTCCCCCTTTCTGTTAATAAGTAACATTTTCTTCCAATACATAGGGGTGCTCATCAAAAACTTTGAATATCATGAAAATGTTGATTTATTTCAATAATATGATTCAAAAAGTGAAACTTGTGCAATGCATACATTGATTTAAAAAAAATAGTTTTCAGATTTAATCATCTAAATTAAAATGAATTAACACTTGAAATGTATCAGTCTGTGTGGAATAAATGTATGCATTACACAAGTTTTACTTTTTGAATAGTATGACTGAAATAAAACTTTTTCATGATATTCTCATTTTTTGATGAACACCTGTACTATAGAACAGCATACAAATCAGTTCATTCATTGATCACCAATATGCAAAAGATGTAATCATACACAATATCACAAAGGTAGCATTTAAAATGTTTATTAAAAAAATAGAAAAACTTAAGACTTAAGGGGGGGGGCATACATCAATAGGTCAGTCATTTACACATCTTTAATTACACAGATATAAGATGGGAATTGGTTTGGTGTATAAAGATGTAACCACTCATTGATTATCTTGGGACAGCCTAATGAAAATCTGCACTGAAAACAAAAAAAACTTCAGTACCAGGCTAATCGCATCAGTTTGGAAAGGATGCGGAAACAACTTGGCTCAACATTGTTTTGTTCAAGGCTCCGTACCTCATACCCTCACCATCATATGGATTCTTAATAGGTTATGTGGGTTTGGACCTAGTAGATGAGAGCAAAGAAAGTTAATAGGCCTCATACAATTTGCGATGCTTCTTGATGCCGCATTAATGAATGCATAGCAAATCTAGCAGTACATTGAACTAAAGTTTTTGCTATGTAGGGTGGAATTTGGTCTTCCAAAAAGGTAGTGGCCCTTTTAGGTTGACATCATTAAAGCACATAAAGGCAGAACAAAAGCACTTTGCTGGTAATAAGTAGCACCAAATATTTCTGAAAAGACAAAAAGGGCACGAATGAACAAATGGTTTAAAAAAAAAAAAAACTCTTTCCACAGTATCCCCTTTTGTGGAAATACACCTAAACTAAAAAAAAAAAAAGGTGGGAGCAACATTAAAATAGGTTTTGGAGGGGGTGGGGAGGATATTTGGACAAACTGTTGTGATGAAGATTAAACCGTAAATGTCATGAGATTTGTTTTGGCATGTTTCGCATTGTCGCTTTACCACCTCTCCCTTGAGTTGGAAAGCAGAACACATTCAATCAAGGCCCTTAAAAATCCAGATATTGCACAGGTCAATGAGGACTTCAGGGGAGAAAAAATTGTTGCTGTGGGGGGGACAAAAAACTAAAAAGAAAAACTAAAATGTGAAATAAATTAAATAAAAGCAACCTACTATTGCACATGAATGCAACAAAATTAAAGTGACAATGTGAACAACAACAAAAAATCCCTCAGTGACAAACACGAGTGAACTTAAGTTCCAACACACAAATACCACTCAGTACATTCAAACAAGTCATCACAGTTTCAGCACTTGAGAAGGTCAGGTTTTGTGCCATCACATCGAAAACAGAGTCAGCGTTGTGCTGCATAGCTAGAAAGGTCGTGCGTTCCTTCGTTCAAAAGGACTGGAGCCCAAGCTGTAAGAGCGTTGCAAAGGGAATGATGCATTCAGAGTAAGAAATTTGTCAGGGGAAGGGAGGGGGGTCATCTAAAAGGCCCAATAAGAGGTAAAACTGAGAGGGACTTAGGGTAAGGCTAGATGAACCCGTTCACTACTATGGCACATGACTTAGCTTTCTGAGAGGTTTCATGAAAGTGACACTGGTGAGGACCAAGTCTGAGTTGTGAACTCAGCTCTGGTGCTGGTGCGCTTCCAATGTGGAGGGAGTGTTTCGAAAGGCCAAACCTTTGAGGCTCTACAGTTAAGACTTAAGACCACTGTCCTTCACCAGCCACAGTGAAGTAATTGCTTCATGTTGGCAGAACAGAAGCAGAAATTGAGTACTGGTCACTTGAAACAACTGGAGACAGTCTGAATTGACTTCCAGGACAAGCTAAAAAAAAAAAAAATGTCTTAGCTATGCAACAGACATCTTGTGATGACCAGAGGGAGGTCTTTAAAAGCAGTAGATCATATATCAGTGCTTCAATCCTTCATCTGCTCTGATTCAGCGCTGGGAGACTGTCCCTTTTCCTGCGTCGCCATGTGTTGCAGCTATAGTGCTGCTGGTTCCTCAAACCTGGTTCCATATTGTGGCCCTGAGGAACAAACCGCCGCTGGGGACTGAAACTACCTTGGGAGTGGATTTGACCACGGAGGCTACTGCTTTGGTTGTGCTTGAAGCCAAATCTGTGTGTCTCAAATGAGTCCTGGGACTCTGGTCGAACGGTGAGCGTGTGCTGGTGCTGCCCGCCTATCCGGTGGTGGTGGAGTTGGTGGAGGGGGCTGGGTAGAGGGCTTGTGGAGTTAGAGTGCTGGGAGACTGCAGTTTGTGCCATATGCCGGTGTACCAGGTGGATGGATGGTAGATTCTCGCGGTAGAACTAGCAATCAGAGAGGGATCAAGAGGACAAGGTTAGGTTTTAAGGAAGAGACATGGGGACCTGGAAATGTAAACTGATGAAAATTTTGGTTGCAAAACCAAAACGGCGTGTGGTGTGAGGAGGTGGCACCAATGCATGGCAATGTGTTACATAACATGCCCACCGTATTTTCACGACCATCGGGCGCACCATATTAAAAGGCGTAGTGTATTTCTTTTTACACATACACAAGACACATTCTATTATTGGACACAGGCATGGTAAAAACCTACGGTAGCTTGAAAAAAAAAAAAAAAAACCTGGTGAAAGCCTATGTTGCAAAGGCAGCGGGAGCAAAACTGAATTCGGTTGTACTTTGACGTATTTGACAATGTACTCACGCTATTTTTTTGATCAATCCTCATCCGCAAATCCAACAAAGTCCTAATCTTCTTTATTCGAAATGAACAGCTGGGCAAGTTCACAATCAAACATGGCAGGTTCCCTCGCGTCATTGTCAGTCTCGGTGCCGTGCGGCTCCTCGGAAATGATGCGGGCTTTTGCAAAATCTCGAACAACAGTGCAAGCAGACAAGCATTAAGGATCCATTCACAAATTGTGGCGCAACTCACACGGCGCCGCTTCCCAGTCTGAGTAAAGCTGTGTTCGCCATCGCTCCCAACTTCACTCTGGCCCTTTCTGTCCATTACCATGGCAACCAATCACAACAGTAAAGCTTTCATTGGATTTAGTGATTTGGAGTGAAACTGATAGTTTGGTAAACTTGTTAGCATGTTCTTTATGCTGGAGTTATCTGAATAACTCTTAATATGTTACGTTGTTACTGACATTTCCAGGCATGTCAGTCATGTAACGTTAGTATACCGTACACTTATTCAGCCTGTTGTTCTCTATTTTATTTTTATTTTAAATTGCCTTTCAAGATGACATGTATGTTTTTGGTGTTGGATTTTATCAAATACATTTCCCTCCAAAATGCGACTTATATTCCAGTGCGACATATATGTTTTTTCCTTCTTAATTATGCATTTTTTGGCTGGTGTGACTTATAATCGGGAGCGACGTATAATCCGAAAAATATGGTACAGCTACTTGGGGGGCTATTAGCGACACTTCCCACTTTAACATATGCATGCTGTCCTCAGTTACATCTGCCTTTCCTCTATAAAAGCAATGTGTCGGCACAACATCAGTCAGTCAAGTGGACTCCTCATTGAATTCGCACAACAGCATTCACAGATTTTGGAACTCTGCGCATACACAAGGCGACAGGCATTATTAGGCGCCCCGTCATTTTGGAGAAAAATGAGTTTTAAGTGCGGCTTTTGGTCGTGAAAATACACTAAGTCCCCTCAACTGATGAATAAAGTATACACTGTCTACATTTTTCATTACCGTTTGATACATTTTACAATACGATCATGGTAAAACCAACCTGCGGTGTGGTGTGGATAAAGCCTGCTGGATGTGCAGCCATCTGCATTATAAAATGGACTGAGGCAAGGTTGAGGGACTGGGGCTGGACTCCATTCGTGCTGGGAGGAGGATCAGACTCCTGAAACACAGAAATTGCTCTGATCACATCATTTTGACATTTTGAAACTCTGGCACAGTCATGTTTAATTGGTATTGTCAGTATTTGAGGACAAACTATCCTTCGGCCTTACAATGTCGCTCCCGGAAGAGGAGGACGAGGAGGAGCTTGAGCTGGGGGAGGAGGATGAAGAATGGTGCTGAGGGCTGTTGAGAAAGACTGGAGAGGACGAGGAGGAATCAGCACTGAGGGGGGAGGCAGTGTCTCGCTGATCCTCCACAGAAGCCAGCATCAGTCTGGCAAGGTCCTGCTCACAAGTCTCTACATCTGTAGGCCAACAAAACACCACTACTCAGATCACATTTGCAAAATAAAAAGTCTGAGAATTACGTGAATGTGGTGACCTTCACTGGGACCATCCAACTACGAACAGAAGCCAAATAGAACAAAATATTTTGAGTACATTGTAAGGATAAACGTTTGCATTTCCAAGACTCAAAAGCACATTTTTTGCATGATAGGCAGTAATGAATTCTTTGAAATAACACCGTACCGTGATTCTCCTGGTTGGCATACTGCTTAGCTCCCCATGTTTTAATAGTCCAGTCCCTGTAGGCCACAACCTCTGGGCAAACTTTGATAATACGACCTAAAGTACTGCAAAAGATATACGGTAGCAATATTAATCTCAAGGAAAAACATACTCTTTGGCCTTGCACTATATCGAAAAACACATAGACATGGGCCAATTACAGGTTTGACGGTTTACCGTGGTTTTAAAAAGTCAAGGTTTCAATAACCGCCAAAACTGTCGGGGACTAGTGATGAGCTTTTCTTTTGTTTTTTGCTGCAATATGATTGGCTGCTTGCCGACATCAGTAAACAAGCCACCTTTTTGAAGCTAATGACAAGAGACTAGCAGCGGCTTTTCTTTTGTCCCTCTTTCTCGGCTAAGCAGAGGGAGGAAGGGTGAGCAGTTACAGGAACGACAGAGAGAGACAACAAAGAGCACTTGAGCAAACACCAGCAGACATGCTTGCCTTTTTGCTATGTCAATTACTCGTTAAAAAAAAATGGTGCCAGCAGATAGCCACCTGCATGGACAACATGAAAAGTCTGCCGGTCTGTTCTAAAAATGGCTCACCAGTGATAGGACAGAGTGACTTACTAATAAGAATTAAAACGGAAGAAGAATCTTAATATATAATACACAGGGTGAGAGACACGATTTATTAATTAATTATTAATATCGATTATTTAAATTTAAAATGGTACACAGTTCTTAAAGAAAGAAATATCCTATAATCTGTTTAACAAATGAAACTGATTGTGTTCAATGGAAAACCATGCTGTTTATTTCACCCAAATATTTCCAAAAGGAACATTTTAGATTTCGGATATCATACCGTCAGAGTCTAATATCGGCCCATACCTCGACACACACAGACGAAGAGATGCCTACCTTTCGTACTCTTTGTTGGGGTATGCCCGAGCAAGAGGAGAAACACCATGACTCAGGACCATGTAAGCAAAGTCAAACACTTGCTTGACTTGCAAGACTCCATATGAGCTTCGTCCTACATCATTGCCTATCAGCAGGAAATCATCACGTTTCGAAAAAAATTAAAGTAGTCTCATAAAATGTATGAATAATGTGTGACCAAAGTACAAAGTCAAATGAGTAGAATTCACAGTAGTTCAAAATAGTTCTGACCTGGCTGTATTGGATCCTCGATACAGAGCATAGATGGCCTGTTCCCATTGCCCATAGCTTTGAGCATCTCCTCTTTGGATAGGTAGGCCCCTCCATTCACCCGGATGCCCATCTTCATATAGTTGAAGTCACGGCCGTACAGCTCAAAGAATTCAATCAGCAGTATGCCCAGGTTGATGTTAGCACGCCGCGTGTCGATGCGGGGGTGCAACTGATCAGCAACATAGAGAAAACTAAATGACAGAGGTTGCTTGAAGAGACCAACATTTTACCACATTCGTCCTCAGGGGTGCACAAGGATTAAAATGTCCAATTGCACAACTTAATCCAATTGTGACGTTCGTCCCTCCATGAATATTTGGATGCCATTTGTCCTCATCACATAGACGCAATTTATTTCAGGCAAGAGTCGGCATACACCTTGGACCCTTTACCGGTTTATCATAAGGCAGATCCAGACAAACACCCATTCACACAAATTGTGGTGCCGTTTTTCTTTGCATTCTGTAAAAGTGTACCTATATTTAGATGACAAATTGCTGTAGCATTCTTTCATGTGGACACTGACTCTCACTCTGACTCTCTATACCTCATCTGAAAATATTTGAGCCTAACAGAGACATATGCACAGTGCATCAGTTCTCGTCAATTTGAGAAGGAGGGGTTTGGCCTTGAGCAGCACTCCAGTATGCCCTCAAAGATAGGACGTGGGTAAACACATGGACACTGTGTGTGTTGTTTTTATATATATAGGTTTTGTAATGTTTTTGTATTTTCTGGTTTAGTAATTCTTTTTTTTTTTTGCAGGGGTGGGGGGCATGGCATGTTCACTAGTTGCACATCTGTGAGGAGAAGATCAAAGTTACTCGAACCGTCATTTATGTTTCAGGGCAGTCAGCAGTCCTGTTGTGTATAGCCCCTTAAAAAATAGACAAAAGAAAAAGGAGACGTTCTCACTGGGGATCTCAACACTGATATTGAGTATCTCCATGACCACATTGAAGAGCACAAAATTGTATCGAGAGAAGTTATTCTTGCGAGATTAACGCCAGCCTTTGACTTTGCGAATGAATAAAGTGCGTTGAACTCAACTTTGTAAGACTCCATGCGCCACCCTCAAAGTTTTGAGATTCCACAGAAAAGACAGACAATTTTAACAACAAAAATTTTTCGCCACTCAGGAAATGAAATGTTCATATAGGTATAAAAGTGTACCTGCAGGAAACTAATAGCCATCAGTATGAGGCTGTAAGAGCTGATGCCTCCTGTAAAGACTTCATTTAGATCCCTCTGAAGTAGAAACTGCTTCAGTACGAAGATCAGGGGAGGCAGAACTGTGTATTTCTGCAAGAGCGACACAACAAACAATGTCAAATTGGAATGGACACGGTTTGGAGGTATGAAATGTTACCTTTAGGTAGCCCTTAATGAAGTGTGCTGCTTTGACAGCAGTCTCCACATTAAAGCTGATATCAATTTTGACCGCCGTTTCATGGTCAGTGAGCTTGATGATGGGCACCTGGTGGGGGACAAAGAAACAGTTGGAATCAGTGTATCAGCATTCACAGCAATCATCCAAATGAAGCAACCGACGATTACACAAAATGGCTCAGAGATCGGAGTGACTCACAGAAGCTTTGTCCAGAACTTTAATGGGATACGGGCCCGAGACGTTGTGTCTCTTTAGTGCTTGCTCTAGTTCCTGCAATGGGGGGTGGTCCCACTTTCCAAACACCACCAGGTCAATGTCACTGGCAACCCAAGCAAGATGTATATGGGCTCATTTAACAATAACCAAAAAAAAAAAAAAAAAGTTACACCGCCAAGCCAAAAGCATTCACTGCATAGTTTGTGATGAGCATATTAGTTGAGGTTTGAATGAACAAGCAAACTGTAACCTAACTATTCTTTAACATATTTTATAAACCATTGCACAGTCTAAACAGTAACAGATTGGATGGCAAGAAGCCGCTAATCTTAAACTAAAACATAAAAACTCAACAGAAGCATGTCTTTCCATACAGCAAGTTGATATTCTGTTCTTTCAGTCAACAATAACACAAAAATAGCGTCCTTTCTTCCAAAACGCCAACATCATGGACAGAAAATGACTGACATTTCTAAGGTGAAAGCTACCTGGTTGGAAGATAGAGACCTGTGCTGAAGCTGCCAAATATCTCCACCTAAAGAACACATTGAAAAAAAAAAAAATCTGAATTTGAGTTGTACATGATAAAACTAGGCAATGTAATTGAAAAACAAAAAACAAAAAAAAAAACCAAACAAAACATTCCAAAGAAATAATCTACATATCCTATTCAGCAACCAACACACATTTATTGAGTGCAGCAAGCCAAAAAGACAGGAGATATGTCTAGCCGCATTAATTGAGGAGTGGGAAGAAGCCAACTAAAACATACGGGCACCCCCACCTATTTGCTCCAATTCCAATCATGTTGACAATCAGAAAATCATTTGTGTTGCATTGAAGCCAGTCGTCATTTTGTATCCCTACTATAACTTTCGTAAATAGTAATACTACTTTATTAGTAGGAGATTAAATGAATTTCTGTGAAACTGGAAAAAAATACGAGCATCAATTGTACCAGGATAATTTCTGTCAAGATTTTTTTTTTTATTGCATCACTGCCTATCCTGTCCAGTCGATTCTTAACTTAAACCAAAATTAAAAGAAATAATATAGAATCAACATTTGTATATGTCACAATATGGAAGTGAAGGATCACATCAAGTGTACTCGATAAAAAGAAAAGTTACTTGAAAAGGAAAAAAAAAACCAAAACAAGTCTCCCAACACTTACCTGAGCTGTGGGCCACAGTTCCTTGATGACGTTCTCAATCCTGTTCACGACATCTCTTCTCATGGCCTCCTCCTCTGGACGCGGTGACATGAAGTTGAAGAAGTCAACTATTTCTTCATGGAGGCTATGAAGGCAGCAAACAAATTTGTTTATTATTCAGTTCATTTAACTAAGCAAACGTTTCTTTAAAAATATATATAAATAGTATCAAAATCAAATCAAAAATACAATAATACACTTAATTAGCTGTGTCTAAACCAGTGGTTCTTAACCTTGTTAGAGGTACCAAACCCAACCAGTTAATATGCACGGTCACCCAACCCTTCATTAATGAAAAATAAAAATATATTAAATACAGAAAAAAACTCAACACAATTAGTAGAAGTATAAAGTATACGTTTTTTTAATTGTGCACAAAATGAACTAGCCAGTGGTGGCCAAGCAGGCGTGTCATAACTACCGGTAATTGACATGTTGAGTCCAGTGGTCTTAACCTCCATGACAGAGGCTCTGTCGAGCGCCCTGAGACTGATTCACCGAACCCCTGGGGTTCAATCGAACCCAGGTTAAGAACCACTGGTCTAAACTCTCTCCCCTGAGGGCTCTATACAGAAAATTGGAAGGATGCAAGTAGGGCTGTTACTATTTAATATTTTTAGAATCGATGAATCAGATAACATTTTGTGTCTTGCCAAATCATTTCCTTAACCAGGTATTGCTGTTTATTATTTATTTCTTCGCCAACACGATGTTACACGATCGAGAGAGACAATTCCAGTCTACATTAAACTCAACCGCACTGCATTCAAATTACTCCACGACACCATTTCGCAGTCTATTACCACCATCTAATGATGGAAAGTTGACACTTGAGTCAAGCAGTTACATTTTCCCTGGCCAACAGACGATGATTTGCTACAGTTTTTACACCAGATGCAATTCCTGAAGCAACCAACTCACTCATATACAGTTTTGGGACCAGTAGGAGTTGAGAACTAACATATAGTGGCAAGGGTTTTGTCTAGGGACCCAGCCAAGATGTTCTTGACAGAAATTTGAACATCGGTCCCGTGTCCAAAGGCAGCAGTGCTCAGCCATTCATCACATCGCTTGACAAATGTGTGTTACATTATCAGGCACCATAACTAGTTTGAACATATACTGTGACCCTAGCATCACGAGTTAGACCATACTGTATGTTTTTTTTTTAAGACTAGATATAACGTTGAGATGTGGAAAGTTGGAAACAGTAAGTAAAATGTGTTTAAAAAAAATAAATGCAATAAAGTTAATCTTAGCATAGCCTGCTATCGGCGAACAATGAGACACATCTGTTAACAACACATTACAAAGTTAGATTAAGTGTGTGTGTAAGGAATGTGACTATTATGGCAAAATGTGTGCACCAAATAAATAACACTTCCCTGGTTCCAGCAGTTCACTGCTGAGTCACGACAAATCTATCTGATTACTCGATTGATTATTTGATGGAAAAACTGACACCGTAAATCATAAATCAGTGAATGTTTTTCGGTGTGTGCATTAAACTATCACTGCGATTGGCTGGCAACTGGTTCAGGGTGTTCCCCGCCTACTGCCCGAAGACGGCTGGGATAGGCTCCAGCACCCCACGCCCCCTCCCCGACCCTTGTGAGGATAAAGCAGTTCGGAAAATGGATGGATGGATGGATGGATGGATGCATCAAACTATCGTAGAACATCTGAGTGTGCACCCTCGGTTGCACTACTGAAACCGTGTGCGCTGAGAGTGTGAGAGAAGTACGCAATTGCTCCCACGTGCAGCAAAGAGTTAACATTGAGCCCGAGTGAAAGGGCAAAAAAAATTTGGATGGGGGGGGGGGAGGCTGGACCACTCTGGACTGGATCCGCCCCTCCACTGAGCAGATGTTAACATTCAGAACCAAAACAAGTGCATTCTATTATAAGAGGACAATCTTTCCAGCTGTGTTTACGTGAAGGTTATCAATATCATCGGTTCACAAATTAGACCTTGACACAGACCAGAAAATGGAGCAAACCATTTTTACTTGTGAAACTCAACCAGAAGATGGGCCAATCTATTTAAAAATGTGTTTATTTACTGTGCAGTCAACCCCCAGCTATTTGGGGAGGTTAACCCGTCCCATGAATAGTCAAATTTGCGTGTAATTGATGCCCATTGATTTGTATGCCGCAAAATAATTATAAAACCTAAAATTCTCCCCAAATCACTGGTAAATACACAAAAACACAGACACACACTTAAAATATTGTGTGTGTGTGTGGGGGGGGGGAGATAATCGACTGCATTTACTGAGAAACCAGAAAATTCACGATGTTAGCACAGAATGTCCCTGGAGAGAATGAGATTGTGTTGACTGGAACATCTTATTTGCTGATCTGATAATCCATCATTGATTGATCGGAAAATTATGACATTATAACAGAGCAATGATTTTGCAAAAAATATCTGCCGTTCCGACCAAACCTGTGTAAAGTAATATAAATCCATATCAAACTTATCGCATAGGTCACAGGCCATTCTCATGAGGATATGTTTTCAATATATTATGAAGCCATCGAAAAGTGACAAGTTACATTTGTAAGCCATTACAAAATGTAACTCCTCTCAGATTTGCTTTAAATAGAATAATCGAAGTAACTAAAAGAGGCCCACATCCACACTTTGAGGGACCTTGTGTTAGCGCTGAACTGTTTCTACTACCTACCCATTGACCCCGGTACTGTAGCGCCTCGTCTTCCAGAGGCTACAGGAGGCGTCGTGGGCCAGCAGCGGGTTGACGCCGTGGAGCGAGTTGGCTCGGCTCAGATACCTCCTGCGGGCCAAGGTCTGATGGAAATGGCGCTGCTTGTTCCAGTGTTGGTTCTTCATCCTGGCGGGGGTGTGGCCGCCAGATTGTTGCGTGCTGCGGCGAGTAGCGGGGGCGGCGGCGGCGGGGCAGTTACACTTTTAGAGTATTCGTTGTTGGAGTCCGTAGAGATTGCGTTGAACGTTACGTTGTCACGATGGTACTGAATGTGGTTGTCGGTGCCGGAATTCGTGCCAAATCCCTGAGACGTTTTCCAAATGTGCATCCATAACGAATTGGCAGGTCCCTTCTGCTCCGGCTGGATCCAAGCGGTCCTGGGATCCATATGGACTCGAGTTTGAGCGGCCACCTCTCAACGGGAAAATTTCAAGCAAGTGGGCAAATGTAACACTTTGCACTCAAGCAAACAGGTGGTTGCCTACCGCTCTGGTTTACTTATTATCCTCGAAGTGCTTCATGTCAGGAAACTGGCGTGGTTATTAAAAATCGGCTGGCCCAACTCCGTTCCCCATGTCAACCAACAAAAATGGCGCACCCAGCAGCACTCTCCCGCATCTGCGCATGTGTGGGGATTTAAATCTTTGAACACACCTCTCCGCACAGCCACATAAAATCAAGCTAATGGACAAACCAGCGGAAGTGTACGCCGTAATGTGGAAGTAGTTTTCGGAGACTTTACATGGCGGTTGTTAAAACTTTACAAATACTGTACTATATTTGTTTTAATACCAAAATCACAATTGAATATACCGCCGCATCCAAGATTTCTCTTAATATCCCTAAAAGTATTTATATGGCACGAAACAAATCGGCGTAAACATTTGCAATATTGTTCGAGAAAGTTTGTTTTGTTTCCCTCAACGATCACCTTAATTGGAAACATTCTTCGATTGTCCACCCCAAACTCAAAAATTATATACATAATGTGCTGCACTAGAAATGCTTAAAATTTTATACAGTGCTGTATCTTGAACTCCTCTCATACCTTTGTTCTGAAATTTGGGGCGACGTCATATAGTACGACCTTAACGCAAAATACTGTAATTACAAATTTAAAAAATGCAAGCAGAATAATTTCCAATGTACAGAAACATGAACTTGCAAATCTCCCTTCTTTAAGTGGTTTAAATAAATTGTAATACAGTATTATGATCACCACTATTATTAGTATTTCAATCTTCTTCATTCACCCATCCATTTTCTATAAAGGCTATCCTTATTTCATGGGCGCGGCGACAAATAAATTGGCACTTGTGGGATAAAATTGTCTGAATCTGAAAAAAAGGGGAGTCAAAAATCATTCATAAATAAAATATCCATCTATTATTTTAAATAAATTGTAATACAGTATTATGATCACCACTGTTATTAGTATTTCAATCTTCTTCATCCACCCATCCATTTTCTATCAAGGCTATCCTTATTTCATGGGCGTGGCGACAAATAATTTGGCATTTGTGGGATAAAATTGTTTGAATCTGAAAAAAAAGGGGAGTCAAAAATCATTCATAAATGAAAAATCCATCTATTATCTGAACCGCTTTATCCTCACAAGGCTTGTGGGCATGCTGCAGCCCATCCCAGCTGACTTCGGGCAGCATGCAGGGTACACCTTGAAGTGGTTGCCAGCCAATCACAGGGCACACATAGACGAACTACCATTCTCACTCATAATCACAATTCAGGACAATTTAGAGTGATCAATTAACCTGATACGCATGTTTTTGGAATGTGGGAGGAAATTCGAGTACCTGGAGAAAACCCATACGAGCATGGCGGGATCATGCAAACTCCACACAAGAAGGCCGGGACCCAGAATGGAACCCATGACCTTTGCACTGTGAGGCAGACATGCTAACCAGTCGACACCTTGCCGCCCTAAATCACATCATTTCAGGAAAATAAATTCCAACAAAGTAGTTATGTGCAAATACTTTTATTTGAAAACTTCAATAAGAAATAGTTGCAGTACAATTACAGAATGCCTCATTTAAGTATTTAGTCCCTCAAAATATTGTCATAGCTCCACTTGCATGACTTTTGTGCACATAAGGATGAGGCTACTGTTAGATTTCTTGCAAACAGTGCAGGATAAAATAGCCAAATCATATGGTAAAAGGCTAAAACCCTCTAATGTGGTACTTTTTTTGTAGGCAATTATTAAATGCCTATTAATTCTAGTCCCACTGATACATGTTGAGAAACACTAAACAGTATCTTTGCACATGAGTCTTGGGGTGAGAAAAGAATAAAAAAGAGATTGCAATACATATGTATAACTTTAATAGCAAAAATAAATAATCTCTGAAACTGTACAGATATTTACTATTGGTGAGCTTTCCACAGACGACATATTTACATGATACGTTTCCAAGCGCACTGCAGTCAGATGTAAACACACATCAACATTATAACCAATATCTAAAGTTTTACCTTAGCACAACTTCACGAATGTGTGTCTGTTACACAGGGTGTGAATAATTAAAATATTAAATCAGAAATAATACAGAATACAATGTTTGTTTCACTTAATTTTCCTCATTCCTGTATCAAAAGAAAAGCACAGTAAAAAAATAAAATCAAATTTATACAACGTGCAGATGATTGGAGAAGGGTGTCACAGTAAAACTAATCAAAACAACTTGATGTTAGTAACTTTGCACAGTGTGGTTCAGGTCACAACATCACCCAAAGTTAGCTCTCTTTTCATGCTCCTTCAAAAATAGCATTGAATAGTCCGTTGGTATCTGATGTGGCCTGCTGCAACATTACAGTATGCGTTCATGAAAGACTGAAAATTGTAAAGCGTGTCCTGGAGGTGTGCAAGATGACTGCACTCTATTATTAAAAAAATAATAAAATACGTAGCCTTTTGTGTAAACAACCAGAAGTCTTTGTGAAGTATGCATCACTCATTTATTGACCTGTCTGCAGATCGAGGCCAGCTGGAAAATGCAGCTTGTGACGGCAGAGGGAACACTTTGTGATGCTTCTCCTCGCCATCCTGCAAGTGCATCCAGGGCTTCTTTGGGGTTGCTTGGTGACAAGTCGAAGATGCAGTACGCCGCTGCTAACTGCACTTCCCACGGTATAGCTGGCCATGAAAAACATTGAAATTACAATCCACATTATGCTTTATTTGGCTGCTGGGACACCAGCTAATAATCTGGATAATTTTGCTTTTTTTCCTCTCATGATTCATACCTTCACTCTGGCTGTGCCTACCAAAGGTATTGATGATGTTGGCAACAGTTAACACGGAAGAAATGTTCTTCTCCCTGATTCCTAACTGACCTAGGATACCTGTATATATAAAAAAAAAAAAATTTAAAAATTAATAAATCAAAGAGGAAATATGACATTTATTTGCATCATTG